TAAGTGTTATAGACCCAACCTGCTCATTTTTTCCTCTTAAGACAACCCGGTCATCTCAAGAATTAATCTAGAAAATCTGGTCTGAGTTGCACCCTGTGCAAGTATCTCCCTTCCTCAATAAGGTGTCCAAAACCATACACAGAACTCTAAGTGTGGTCTCAGCAATGCTGTGAGCAGGTGTAGTAATATTTCCTTCTTTAGAATGACATCCCCTTTGCAACAAAAAGCAATCTTCCATTTTGCTTCCGAATTACTTGCTGTGTCTGCACACTGAAGTCTTGTGTTATGTGAATGAGGTCATCTAGATCTCTTTTTTTAAAATCAAAACATACTGTAGTGTCTCTTCATTTAAATAATATTTTGTTTTGTATCCTTCCTATCAAAGTGGATAACATTACATTTTCCTCAATTATACTCCATGTGCCAAATTTTGACCGTTCACTTGACCTATTTGAGTGAATTTGCATTCTTGCTGTGTCTTCCCCTTCAACTTTCATTCCCACTTTTGCATGTATCGTCTGTGAACTTGAGTACGAAATACTTAGTGCCTTCATCTAAATCATCAAGAAAACTGGGGCTGTGGAAATTTGCGGAGAATGCATGTGTGGGAAAGTTTTGAAAATTACATTGAAAGACCAAGGTAATAGTCAGGATAATAATAACTAGACTGTGATGAGCAGAGGAAGAGCATAGAAATGGCAGAGCACAGTAGATTTCTAATAAGATGAAATTAAAGCCATATAATATTCAGAATAAGATAGATCAATTGAAGGTACAATAGAAATATGTGCATATTATCTGAAAGCCATTATATCAAGTGACCAGGGCTAGGAATTGAAAATTTAGGCTTATTTGACATTTTGATAGGATTTGCAGAAAGGTAAAGGTGGAGGTATGGTCCTATTAACACTGGATGAGAATCTGGCTCCCAGGACCAAGATATGAAATCAATTTGGGTGGAAGTAAATACCAAGCAGACTCTCGTGTGAGCACAAGCTGTAATGCCACTGTACTAAGAGCCATGTCAGATGACATCTACGGTCTTCAAAGAAAAACTGTAACATATCACTATTGTGAAAACTGTGCTGAGAAAGTAATGCTTTCAAGTGAGCCATGAGTGAATTTACCCTTGTTTACGAATCATGCGGTACAAAGACTTGGGCCTGGTCTTTACATTTGAACTGTTGCCATAGTATTGAACCATCAGATTTTTTTCATTCCTCTTTTTGTAAAATAAAATTCATTTCTCATTACACTGTAGAAAATAAAGTAGGTGATTATGCAGTGATAGCACATCAAAGGCATTCATTATTTATTCTGTTGGCATAGGAAATTAGAACAAGGCAGTGACACTGCGTTCTTTGAACCCTTTAATGTTTCATTGCCTTACAGTAAAAATTCCAGCCCATACATGATCCTACATTTGTTCTGCAAGGCTAAACAATAATTTCACTGCCCAATAGAGTGATAAGTAAAATCAATAAATGCACACGGCTGAGCAATCTCTTGGCAGATTTCATCCATGTCATTGAATTATTTTAAAGTGTGCCTGAAATTCCAGGAGTAATAATTTTTTCTGTGCCGAATGTAGAGAATGAAAGTAAAACTGCCCAGCAAGCTGGTCAGCATATGAGATGGACGAGGTAGATCAACTTGTCACATGTGTTCCTACCCAGGCCATTTTTCTTCACCAGATCTGCAGCAGCTGGGATTGACTTCAATCTGTCCAAGCAATCTTGAAAGAAAAAAATAATAAAATGTCAAAAAACTGCTGTCACTTGCTTTAACTGGCCTGGCCACTACTCTCCTACCTTCATGCCTCCACAGCCATCATTCAAGTTCAATTATAGTTGATACTAATATAATCACATATATGCTGTTATACCCAACTGCTGCTGGCCAGATGGTGTAACTAATTTAAGCTGGCTACCTCATTTCAGCAGCTAGTTTTTGCCATCCTGAAGTGGCATATCCTGTTAACTGATTGAGAAATCTGTTGGTTGGCTGATTAAAACCTCGGTATGGCTTGTTTTTATTGTCATTCAGCCTCCAGAGGCTGAAATGATTTTAAACATTCCAGTGTAACTTGCAGATCTAAGTTAGAATGCTGCTAAATTTCTTTCAGATGATGAGCTATGATTATTTTGTTAGCGTGTGTTTGAATGCATTTGCTCTGATAGGGGAGATACAAATGTCTGGTGTACAAATTGGAGGGTGAGATTTTCCTTGCAGACAAATGGGCATAAAGAACCAATTCCCAGTAAAAACAGCTAAATGCAATATTGTTTAATTCATTTAGGAAGAGCTGGTAAAATTCACTCAGCTGGAAAAAGACTCAAGAAAGTAATATAAATAATAGAAGTCATGGTGCCTTTTCATTGAGGAGCTGACAAATGTGTCACAGAATATTCACCCAAGTAGAAAAGTTGCAGAAGTTGTACTGAGCATGTTCTGTGAAAGTACAAGACTATTTATGTCATGCTAGTTTTGATTCTTGCAACGACAGTACCACATATGGCAAAGGAGCAGGAGTAGGTCATTTGGCTCAACGAGCCTTCTCCAACATTTAGAAAGCCGTGACTGATCTGATTATAACCTAAAATCCAATTTTCCCTCAACCCTTGCTAATACTTCACCCCCTTGTTTACCAAGAATCCATCCACTTCTGCTTCAAAAATAGTCAAGGTTTCTGCTTTTAGCACCTTTTCAGGAAGAGAGTTCCAAAGATACATGACTTTCTGTGAGAAAACATTTTGCCACATTTCTTTTTTAAATCGCAATTCTTTTTTTTAAAACAGTAACCTCTGATTCTAGATTCTCCAATAAAAGGAAACATCATGTCCACATCCATCCTGCCAATACTCTTTATGATTTTACATGTTTCACTCAAGTCCCCTGTTACTCTTCTGAACTTCAATGGATCCAAGCCTGGTCTATCCAACCTTCCCTCCTAAAGCAGTTGGCCCATTTCAGTATTAGTCCGGTAAAACTACTCTGAACAGCTTCCATGCATTTCCATCCTTACTTAAATAAAGTGACTAGTACTGCACACAGTGCTTGAGATGTAGTCTGATCAGTGCCCTCTATAACTAAAGCATAACATACTTTTTTTTAATTCAATTCTCCCTGAAATCAATGATAACATTCTATTAGCTTTCCTGATTACCTGCTGAGGCACACTGGGGAGTTACAGGCTACATGTTTCTTCTGCTGAAATATATACTGCTATTGTGCTATAAGATGAACATGTTCTCCAGTAATGCAGAGACAAAAATTAACAGAATTGCTAGTTCTGTATGTCACTGGAGTGTCGACCTTGGCTCAGTAACACAATAAAGTTTGGAATGCATTGGATAGAAATTTGCAATGATTCAGATTTGATGTTAAACTGAACTTTCATTTGACATTTTTGAAAGTCTGCAAATTCTAATTTTTTACTTAACTGATTTGTTGCCCTGTAGCATGTGTGTGTGTGTGTGTTTGTGTGTGTGTACGCAAAAGTGCGTAAAAGATGAAAATGCATTTATGATCCTCAGCTGGATCCTTTCAGACTGGAGGCCTGTGACCAGAAGTGTGCCACAAGGATTGGTGCTGGGTCCACTGCTTTTCATCATTTATATAAATGATTTGGATGTGAATGTAGGAGGTATGGTTCGTAAGTTGGCAGATGACACCAAAATTGGAGGTGTAGTGGACAGCGAAGAAGGTTACCTCAGAGTATAACGGGATCTTGCTCAGATGTGCCAATGGGCCAAAGAGTGGCAGATGAAGGTTAATTTGGATAAAAGTGAGGTGCTGCATTTTGGAAAGACAAATCAGGACAGGAATTATACACTTAATGGTACGGTCCTGGGGAGTGTTACTGAACAAAGAAACCTTGGAGTGCAGGTTCATTGTTCCTTGAAAATGGAGTCGCAGGGAGATAGGATAGTGAAGAAGGCATTTGGTGTGCTTGCCTTTTTTGGTCTGTGCATCGAGTATAAGAGTTGGGAGGTCATGTTGCAGCTGTACAGGACATTGGTTAGGCCACTTTTGGAATACTGTGCACAATTCTGGTCTCTCTTCCAGAGGAAGGATGTTGTGAACCTTGAAAGGGTTCAGAAAAGATTTACAAGGATGTTGCCAAGGTTGGAGGGTTTGAGCTATGGGAAGAGGCTGAATAGGCCGGGGCTATTTTTCCTTGAGTGTTGGACATTGAGGGGGTGTCCTTATAGAGGTTTATAAAATCATGAGGGGCATGGACAGGGTAAATAGACAAGGTCTTTTCCCCTGGGAGAGGGAGTCCAAAACTAGAGGACATAGGTTTAAGGTGAGAGGGGAAAGATTTAAAGGGGACTTAAGCAGCAATTTTTTCACGCAGAGGGTGGTGTGTGTATGGAATGAGCTGCCAGAAGAAGTGGCGGAGGCTGGTACGATTACAACATTTAAAAGGTATTTGGTTGAGTATATGAATAGGAAGTTTTTAGAGGGATATGGGTCAAATGCTAGCAAATGGGACTAGATTAATTTAGGATATCTAGTTGGCATGGATGAGTCGGACCGAAGGCCCTGTTTCAGTGCTTTACATCTCTGTGACTCTCGCATATCACTCTGGCCTCTCAGTCACAAGGTTGTGTGTTCAGATGCTACCCAGAGGTCTGAGATCATCATCCAGTTGTTATTCCAATGCAATACTGAGGGAGTATTTAACCATTGGAGGTGGTAATCTTTTGTACGTGGCCTGAATCGTCTGCCCTTTCAATTGAATATAAATCTTCCCATAGCTCCACTCAGAAAAGACGTTTCTTCCTGATGCTCTGACAAATATTTATCCATCATGCAATATCATTGAAAAAATTACCTGGGCATTATTTCATTACTGTTGTAATACCTTGTTATATCTGAATTGGTTATGAAGTGGTTTGGGATTGATGTCATGAAAGGACTACATGAATGGATGTTCTTCTTTCTTTTGTAGACAATGTTTTCTAATGGCTGTTTCTTCCCCTTTTTATTACCAGACAAAGCCAGGTCAAACAACCGCTGGAAAACCTGCAGTGAAACAAGCAACTGCACCACAGCAAGCTGCTCATGTAGCAGGTATGTTTACTGGCACTAAGATGCGTCAAAACACCAATTCTAGTCGAAAGGGAGAATGTTCAGATATACTCCAGAAGTGATATTGTCTTCATTAAAAGGAAACACTGAGGTGTAGTAGCTCAATTTGGAAATTGGGATTACCATTGAAGATTGAAAAGTAAAAAGATCATATTTTACTGCTGTAAAGCATTGTGATGTACTCTGTTGGATGGATAGTTATACATCAAGCTTTAAAAGCTTATTGCCCACAAAGTTGCTGGAAATGTGAGCTGTTATCAGTCCCAAGAGAGCAGCAGAATCTTGGTGACAATAGGCAGTGTATCTCCTTACTTACGAAAGTTGAAGCGTAAGCAGAGGGAGGACAAAGAAGGAAGGTGAATTAGAGGGAATTAATGTAATGTTATATCAGATACTGAAAAATAAATAAAGACAGGAAATAAAATTGTATTGAGAAAGAGTATCACACAGAATGGGAAGTAGAAGAAAAAGATTAATTTAATCGTGGAACTTTTTAAACATCTAGAACAATTCACAATCTCAAAGAACAAAATTCCTATGTTTGTAATGGTTTAACTTCTGAGCAAGAGAGATTACGTGGCAATCAAACCATTCCTTAACACTGTTAAAATACTTACACTGCTAATGACAAGACTTGACTTTCTGTGACAAATTTAATGTGCAAATAAAGTGAAAATGTTGCAACTTTGTAAAAAAAAACAGGAAAATTGAGCACAAGTCCCCATGGATCAGTTCCAATCAGCCAACAATTAGTGAAAATTTGCAAGTCACTGGGGCTGTTTCTTCCTTGCAACAAATTGCTGTCTGATTTGCAGATTAATAATGGTGTGTTCTGATCAGATGCCATTATTTTCTCAGCAATATCCCGATTGGATTGATGCCTGAAGAATGGATCAAAAGACAGGAGAAAGGCATATATTCTAAGAAAAATGCTTAACAGAGTGATAGCTGATTGGGAACTCATCCCTTCCCCCTCTTCCTCACCTTCAATAAAAAGCGTGCTCTGAGGGAAGGGATATGGGCTATTAAGAAAGAATAACAAATTGATTACATATTTGATGGAAATGAGCAAACACAATATGTGATGCCAAGTTTTCTGAGTGGTAGTAAATGAGCAATGGGTAGAGGTGTTCTGTATTGTTCCATTCTGTAACCACTTCTATTCACTTTGAATATTAATAATATAAATATGTGTCTAGAACAAGTGTTAATTTTTAAGTTGCCAATGATACCAAACAGAAGCTACAGCTTTAGGAAGCTATATTAGGATATTGATAAAATGGAGGCAGCAGGAATAATCATGATAATTGTAATGTGTAAATGATCAGTATATTCTGAATCACAATGGGTTTCAGACTGTGGAAAAGCAGAATGTTTAGAGGCAGGGAATGAAAGACAGTACCTCAGATTGATGAGGCTGTAAAAATATCTCATTGAATTCTAGTTTATATCTTGAGGTATAAAACATAAAATTGAAAAGGCAATGATAAGCCAAAGTAACTTTAACATCTTAATACAATTTCAAGTAGAGGAATTTTTAAGAACAGGATTTTATACTACCGAAAAGGTTTTGAGATTTAGGCAAGAAAATAATACAGATTGACTAGAACAGAAACAGAAATTGCTGGAAAATCTCAGCAAGTCTGGCCACATATGTGGAGAGAAATCAGAGTTAAATGTTTTGGTTCAGTGACCCTTTTTCAGAATGCAGAAGGGTCAGAAGAAGGGTCACTGGACCCAAAGCAGTAACTGATTTCTCTCCACAGATGCTGCCACACTGCTGAGACTTTCCAGCAATTTCTATTTTTGTTTCAGATTTTAAATATCCGCGGTTCTTTCGTATTTTTGTCAAATTGACTAAAATGTTGCCTGCTGTGAGGAAACATTAATTCAGATTTGAAATGAATTGAAAAATAACATTTTTTCTTTAGAAGAATAAGATTTGGGGCAAATACGATATGCGTTTTTATTTTAGGAAAGGATGGAAAAGAGTAGTTGAAAACAGACCTTTTCCCGTAATTGAGAATTCAAAAATGAAGGGCCATGTGCCTGGCTATCTTGGTGTCTGTTTCAAACTATACTTGCACCTGATGGCCCATTCATTCTTTTTTCCATTATTTCAGGGTATCATGGAGATCTGCTTTTCCTCCTCCTGCTGCGTAGTATTGACATTCACTATTCATGATCCAGCCTAATTCTTTGTTTTTCCTTCAGATCACACCTCCTCAGCATGCACAACATCCAGTAATCCAGTGCTACAATGATCAATTCACTGCACATCTACTTTGTACAGGATACAAGAAAATGTTTGACATTTGGTTGGTGATAATTTGCACCAAACCCTTTCTCACTGGCCTTTCTTTTAACTTATTAGTACGTCAATAGTCAGCATTCCTCTGAATTTTCTTCCTTTGTTCCTCTAACATACAACATTCTGCTATGCTGCTGGATTTTTTTCCATCACTTCTGTGTGATTCATTACATTCAGTAACCTCACCCTTCTTCCGTTTTCTGCATCTTAATTACTAAGCTTGATCAAATGAAATGGTACATCCCTTTGACATAAGCATTGACATAATTTTGCATTCAAATGGGGTCAAAATGATTTGACATCAAATGTTATAAATCAGAATGAGGTTTTCATCAGTGCTTCTTGTTATCTTTTGACATCAAGAGCAATTATGATTATTGGCATCAAAAGTGATCATTAGACATTGAAAGAAATCATTAAACACCAAAAGCATTCAATAGGTCTCCTCCCATTAACACCACCACTGCCACAATCACCATGCCCTCCCACCCATTCCAACAGAGCCTATTCTCACATTTTCTTCTCCTTTTCGACCCAAACCCCAGCTGATTTTGCTACTTACCCAAATGGAGCGGTCCTAACGCTTCTCCAATCCCTCCTTGTTGCCATGGCTTGAAGCTACTATCAACCACTGGACCCAGAACACTGGCAGAACTTCTCTCTCCATCTCCAACTTAGATCTTTCTAATCTCCCCTACCCACTAGTGGAATTTGGGGTCTGACTAGTCTTCTGCTCTTCCCTACCAACTGTAACATGGACCACAACGTAAAACTCCTCCCTCCATGTTGTTTACCTGACCCCCATGTTGAGACCTGCAATGTAATGACTGTTGAAACCTACCACACACCCTACTGCTCCCAGTGACCTCATTGTGTATGGACTCAATCCCAGCCAGGGGCTGTGTATGTGGAACCTGTACCCAAGAGACACCCATGCTCAAAGTACCCCAATGAGAGAGTGTGTGTGTGTTATGTGTGCGAGTGAGAGAGACCCTCACCTGAGTGAGAATCATTGTTTGTGGAACCCATACCCCACTGTCCCTACCACTCCCTCCCTCTCTCACACACACACACACGCACACACACACACACGCACACTCTCACATGCACACTCTCTTCTCTCACACACACACATTCTCAGACACACACACGCACACTCACACACACTCCCTCTCACGTACACACGCACTCTCTCTCTCTCTCACACACACACACACATACACACACACACACACACACAAACACACACTCTTTTTCTCTCTCTCACACACACACATGCACCCTCTCAGATACACACACACTCCTATAATCTTACAAGTAAGACCAGCAAATACCAAATAAGCCCCTATAACCTCTAAAAAGTATCTGTAGCAAGCTCATGATCCCTGATTATTTCACATTCAAACATGCCTTCCCTTTCAGATGAAATTTATTTTCCTTCTTGAACTGATACAGTTCAGTAAAGAAAAGAATTTCTTTTTGAATCCATTCTGCAGACTGCATGAAAGTGTGTTCAAGCAGAGCACAGCCCTGATTATTCAGATGTAGGAAAGCACCTAACCCTTCCCACTCCCATACTTCTTCATCCCCTCATTCAATTTTGGTGAGGCAGACCTATAAGGCCTGCTGCCTATCTGCTCAGTACTGGGGACTTGAGAATATTGGTTGGAGCTCTCCCTGTCTACTGGTGACCTCCTTTGTCACATCTCTGAACCCGATTAGACATTGGGGACCGGTTCACAGAGCATCTGTGCTTTGCATGCAACGAACAACTGGACCTTCCTGTTGCCATCCATTTTAATTCCCTCTCCCGCTCTCCTGGCGACATGTCCATCCTTGGCCTCCTCCACTGTCAGAGTGAGGCCAAACGTAAACTGGAGGGACAACACCTGCTATTTCGCCTTGGAAGCTTACAGCCCAATGGCCTTAATGTTGACTTCACCAACTACAAAATCCTTCCATCCCCAGCCTTATTCCATGTCCAGTCCTCCCCCTGCTGACCTGACCTAACCTGTCCATCTTCCTACTCACCTATCCACTCCACCTTTCCCACAGACCAATCACAAAAACTCCGTACCTGCATCCATCTATCACCATCCCTCCTACCCTTCCCACAGCACCACTCAGCGCCCTCTATATTTTTCTGGGCTCCCCTCCCCCTCCCCAGTCCTGACAAAGGGTTTCGGCCCGAAACATTGACTTACCTGCTCCTCAGATGCTGTTTGACCTGCTATGCGTTTCTAGCCTCACATCTATAGACTGTGGCTTCCGGCATCTGCAGTCCTTATTATCTCTTAGACATCATGCTTCCCTGATTTACCCTAGCCTGGACTCTAGGTTTTCAGTAGTCTGTGCATACTTCAGCATATTTAGCAGTAGCAAGAAGCGAGACTTTAAGCAATATTCCCAGCTGCTGCCCAGAGGAATCACTGAGATGTCCATACACAGGAGGGTGGAACAGCAAATTTTGGGAAACCCGGGGTAGTTGGGCCTAATGTCCTCCCCATTGTGATAACTTTGTTTAAAACTAATATGTGCCCCTTCCCTCTATATGAATTATGCCCATAAAGCTTATGCCTACATGTATATTAGACTCAGTGGAGCCGGTGAGATTCTGAAGGAGCCCAGTGAGTTACTGTATTTGAGAATTACATATCATGGCTAAAGTTATTGTATGGTTGAAGGGGCCTGATTGACATGAACAAAAATGAGATAAAAATGTTAGCATTAGAAAGGAAAGGCATTTCTTAAAATCACAGATATGGGGGCAAACGGAGCCTCCTTTCTATCCACTAGTAATTTGTTAATTGTTAAACAACCTACAATGCTTGCATAACATATTGCATCAACTGTGATTCAAAAAAATCCATGGCATGGTATTTATAATGTCATCTGACATTTGAAACTTAGACAAATTCTGCTATGATCCCTTGAACTTAGAATCTTTCCACAAAAACAAGTTCTGGTCACTTTTGAATCCAGTTGAATGCTTCTGAGTGCATTAAAGGTAATTAGATCACGCCAAATGATAGCAAATGTCGCTTGAGTACTATTCATGTCAACTAATGACATGTGATATTGGTTGATCACTACTTTGCTTTGGAGTGCAGATGATCTCAGATGATATTTGTTGAATGCCATTGAATGCAAAATGATATCAAGATGCTATGGCCAGAGTTTTTCACATTTGAATATGTCTTGTTTGACTTTGCCCTCTATTTTCCCCTCTAGAAAACGACTGAAACTAAATACACAACACAATTTATTGCAGATAACACATAATCCTTGTCCTCTGCTGAGTCAGTTGACCTTAACTATGAAAGGTAGCATGTGCAATTTCAGTGCTGGCATGAGAAAGCAGAAACATCGAACAGGATTCTTAGTAAAACTCTCATTCATTAGCTCTGTGCCAAAACTACTTGTGGCTACAAGCTGCTATTAAAAGACAGAAAGAACTGTCATTTCAAAAGGGCGAAAACAGCTTCACAAATTGATTCAACTAATACGAGAAGGGGTAGTGGGAGTGGGGGCACAGGCGATTGATGGAATTAGAATTTGAAGGAAGTAATTATGATATTGGCAGTGTGTTTGCAACCTTCACTCACTGTGTAATCAAGAAATCTAAATCATATAAACGTTTTGGCCTCATTAATATATTGCCAGTTAACGAACACTTGATTTCATTTCTCCGTTTGTGCAGGAGAAATGTCCTGCTAAAATGAGAGTGGGCTGGGATCTGGGCAATCCAACTCCTCTGTTTTACCGCAGTCTCAGAAGACATTCCTTGTCATCTGTCGAGGGGTTAATAGTTCCATCTATGAAACATTGTATGGTGTATGCAAGCTACAGTAGTTAAAAGTTGAAACTAACCTGTCTGTGTCGAATTGGTTAGTCAAGTAAAGCTTACCCAACTTAGTAAAATGATTGTGACTGTTGTGACTGTCAAGTGAGAAGTGGTAAAATTGCTTCCCTCTCTTTCTACCACTTGTTTGACCACAACAGGAGTTCTAAAATAATTCGCTTGTCAATCTAGTGAGTATTTAACTGTTAGAGTGCTGTGAATGTAGAAGACACAAGCAGTTTGATTCTAAGTTTTAAAAGAAAAGGAAATAGTGTTTATCACCCTTTATGCCAATAGATAAATATATCTAAAATGCTTGAACTCACACTCAGATGTGCATCCATATTTACACTCACACAGAAGTAGGTTCTAAGGAGGGATAGTAGGTTAAATGAAACAAAACTGCAAATGCTGGGGATCTAAAACAAAAACAGAAATTGCTAGTGAAACTCAGCGGTTCTGACAGCATTTGTGGGAAGAAAGCTGAGTTACCATTTCGGGTCGATAGCCCATCATCGGAACAGACTCTTCATCTGTTCTAATGAAGAGTCACCGACTCGAAATGTTAACACTACTTTCTTCCCACAGATGCTGTCAAGATCTACTGAGCAATTTCTGTTTTTGTGGTAGGTTAAATTTTTTGAGTATCCAGAAAAAGTTAACCTTGTATGGGTCCTGTAGGTTGATACATTGGATAGTTTCAGGCTGTGTTTGATGATCCTGTCCAGATTCTGCACAGACGCAGTTTAAAGTCATCGTTGGATAATCTCTATCTATTCCTCTGAATACCAGCATCTGTTTGCTTTACATTGAAAATGCTGCCTATTCTATCTGGCTAGTCAAATACAAACTGGGACACACTTGCAGAATAGCTAAAGAGAATGACACCCCTCAAATTTTCGGCTTGCTGTTATCCATTTGAGATCTGTCTGACACTGGAAAAATAGTGTCTTACCACGACGTACGTTCACAAACTAACCAATTACTAATCATGGTCATATCAAGCTGGAGAACCTGCATTCCAGCTCCACTGTTTGTAGTGATTAAGTGGTCAGTGGAGCTATCTACTCTTCCGGGGTCTTTGTCTGAATACATTTTAAGTGATTATAATGGTTTGGTCTGCACTCATTAAAGAACAGACTCTATCTGAATATCTGTCAGGAGTTTGGGGGATGGTCCATTCACACTTGTTAAAGCTGACTGCCCTTGTGGTATACTTATAGATGGCATGACTCCTTTCTGATAGATTTGTAATTTGAAATGTAAATATCCGGCTGCTTTTCAAACTGCTGTTTGGGTCACTTACTGTTGTTGGCCTTTAAAAAAAAATCCTCTGGTTCAGCCAAATCAGTGATATAAAGACGTGATTTTGTAATACGACGTGCCTATTCATATTCATTTGTGCAGCATACACTATTTTAAGATGAGTAAATCTGGCTTGAGCCCTGTTGCAAGCAGACTGAAAATCAAAAGGTATTAAAACTGCATAATGTAGAATAGATTTTAACTCTGAATCTTTGCCAAGCTTCCTGTCTATGAATCACTGATTTCAAGAACTGAGGCTTCATTATCATCACAATGGCTGCTGTCTGTATCTGATCCATGCCAAGAAGCAATAGGCTGTTTACAGGCAAAGATCAGGAGGTGTAGATACTTGGGTAACTCCTGATGGGCTTTCACAGGGTCTGTGGGTGAAAGTGAGTCAGTGCCTTCCTGTGGGTCTCAGTATCGTGCTCAATCAGTTACAAGACCCCAATTAACATGTGACTCAGATGGACACCTCACGGACACCTCATTTCCCACCTACTCCAAATATTTCAGTGCATTTCTAAACAGACATTTCTTGGTTAACAAATTGTTGAGTTGTATTGCTGCAATGAGTAGTCTAGCGATACATAATTCAGTAATCACAAACTGTATTTCTATGAGATTTGCAAATATTTATATTCTTGTTTGGCTCTGACTTTAGGTTCCAAACCAGGTGAAGAAAAAGAGGGTGATATCGGAGCTTTTGTCTCCAAAATGTTGCCAGGAGGAGCAGCTGAGCAGGCTGGGAAACTGACTGAAGGTAAGGAAAAAGATGGTCTAAGGAAAGGTCAAAAAAACACTGGACTTTTTTGTAAATTCCATGGGTTAAAATGCTGAAGAAGATCCCAGGTTCGATGCCTGTCAGATAATCCAGCTATGTTGCACTACTCACAAGAAATATTGATATTATCTATTATCTTGTTCTCTCTCCTTTCAAGTCACATTTTCAACCTATAAAAACATATCACTAATAATAACTTTTTTAAGTAAATCTCTCTGCATTGATCGTTTAGGATATTTCTTTAACTTTTTCCTTTGTTTATCAAAGTAAGAGAGTGGAACACTTTCCATTTCAGGGACCCCACCTCAGTCTGAAGCATTCACAGGTCAGCGCAGGTGTACTGTGCTGCAGGATGTTGACTGTTTCCTGACAGCAATGCATACTGCAACCATTGCGGTATTTTCCATTTGCATCTCTGAGTGAGATTGTCAATATTAGAGTGAATTGTTGCTAACCCCAGCACAATTTAATGACTATCAAAGCCATTTGGAACTTGAAGGAATGAGGATCAATCCATTCTTTTGAGTGAGCAGATTTCAGCTGAACTGGTAGTTAGAGTACTTAAATAGCTAATCAGCGTGGTGGGGAAGGAGAAAATCATCTTGGATTCTCATTCCTGGTTGCTATCCAGCAACCTCTGTTGGGAATGTACTTATGTGGAAGTACATCTTGCTCCGGTTTCCTCCCACAGTCCAAAGATGTGCAGGTTAGGTTGATTGGCCATGCTAAATTGCCCATAGTGTTCAGGGATGTGTAGATTCGGTGGGTTAAAAGGCGATGGGTCTGGGTGGGATGTTCTGAGGGTTGGTGTGGACTTGTTGGGCCGAAGGGCCTGTTTCCACACTGTAGAGATTCTATAAAAAATAGAGTTTGAACTTTTAGGAGAGGAATGGAAATAGAAATTGCTTAATCAACCGTCCTGCTGTGATCTCCAGCACTTTTTGTGTCAGTGCAGATTTCAGCATCTGCAGTAATTTGCTCCACCAAATAAATTCTGCACCATTTTGTGGCTCTTTTGCAGAAACGTTTGCGAGATTCTAATTCTGATTCAAAACCCATCACTTACATAAAACTTATTACCTGTGATAGAAAATATTATTGAAGCATTGCTTGCTTAGATTGAGCAAAAGGAAAATTTACTCATTGGAACAAGGAATTCCATCAGCGTACACTTTGAAAGGATTGTTACAGTGCATTAGTTTAAGATTCTGTGTTTGTTGGGGAAAACAAAATTATTGGCACAGATTAGCTGCAACATCTAGTTTTTATTCACCTGAAAGCCACTTCAGACAGGAGCAAATGAGACTGAGGAACTTTGGTGGATAGCTAATTTTCCAAAAATTCTAAAGATTTCTGCCTTACTGTCAGTTCAGTGCTCTATTGAGATCTATGAACATAAGATAAAGAGATGTTTCCTGTTTCCTACATTTGTCTTGTTGCTAGGTCCACTGTAGATCTCTCTTCACAGAAACCACAGTCTTTTAAAAGCAAGTATTTTGAACCTAACCTCCGTGAGTTCTTCTCAGTGATGCTAAGGACCTTTCATCAGGGCGAATAATTAGGGATGTAAAAGCTAATGGTGTCCACTTTAACCAAGCTAATTGTCATTTTAAAAAAAACCCACCTGCTTCGGTAATGTTCTTCAGGGAAGGAAATCTGTTCTTACCTAACTTTTCCGATGTTTGATTCTGGAAAAACAGCAAAGCAGCTGACCATTAATTGGCCATTTGACCAATACATGCCGGCCTAGTCAGTTACACCCATGTCCTTGAATTAACTTTTAAAAGAAATCTCTACATTGTGGTACATTACTAATGTGTGTTTGTCTCAAAAAGCTGTCAAATTACTGAAGGACACACACCACAGTATCACGTCCACATGAAGAGAGAGCTTAAATTGTTTTAAAAGCTATGCCTTCCTCCTTCCAATTTTAAAATGAGATTTGCTGGATGAAACATAGCCCTGTTGATCACATGCTGCAAGTTGGCCACAATTTGTGGAAGGATTTCAATCAGCAGTTACCAGGTCAGAATTCAGCCAATATCTTCTTGGAATGTCACACCCTTGCGCTGTCTGAAACTTCTCCCTCAGGCACTTCTGAATGAAGAGGAGCTATTAAAACTCATTTTGCCCGATGAGGCACTAACTGCTCACTACTGATCTCATTACAAAGGAGCAATGATCTTGGCCAGAGAGGTAAAATCCAATTAATATTGAGAAAATTCTTCATTAATTTGAAGCCTAGTCATCCAAGAACCTTGTTACATGACCTTTCAGATGAAGAGTCCAGACCCAAAACATCGACTTTGCTGCTCCTCCAATGCTGTCTGACCTGTTGTGCTTCTCCAGCTCCACATTTTCTTGACTCTGACTTCCAGCATCTGCGGTCCTTACTATGTCCACATGACCAAAATGTCTGGTCTTTGCCAGAAATGTTTAATTGCACATCTTCTGAACCCTTGCTTCAGTTTGGTATGAAGCAGTTTGCTGGTAACATTATGTCAGTATGTTAAGAAAGTAACTGGTGACACCACAGCCAGACACAAGGTTTAGCTAAGTCAGTCTCTAATAAATCTCATTTGAAACCTGGTTCCCAGAAGAGCCAAAGACTCTTTTCTTGAAGAGTCTGTACACATACATCATTTTGTTGCACACTCATCAACTTCAAAGGAAATTGTGAAACTCTATCCAACTTCACCCACCTAACTGCAACCTGCTGGGAAAAAAAACCTCCATTGGAACTGACTTCCATGACTCAGACAAAAAACTTGTGAATTAATGTCAATATCTTTGATTTATAAGTTGCTTTTAAATGTAACCTCTTACCTTTCTTTCTTTTTTTTTATATACTTGTCTTTATTATGCTGATGTATGTATTGCATCTATCACTCCCAGGTTTGAACACATGAATAAACCATATTCTGATTTCACTTGTAAAGGAATTTATTGTGGGCCATTTAAAATTAAACATTACAAACAAAGAGCATGGGGGAAGACACATGGTCTATTAAAAAAAGAGAAAAGTAATGAAAAAAATTAAAAAGACATCTCTGCTTCCTTCATAACAGACATCCTACTAAGTTAATGATTAAGAGTGAGAGAATTGAAGTGCTCGCTAATAATTCAGTATTTAAACTTTATTGTTTGGTGCCCGGAGATATTCTGCACTAGTCTTCAACTACTTACTGAATATTTTCTCATTAACCCTTACTTCTGCAAAGGAGCTGTATATGATAATGGGAGGAATTGCTTGAAATAGCTGTTGTCATTGTACTGCTGGATGAAAAGATTTGTGGGATTTTGAAAATTTGTCACTGAAATAGTTTTACTCAATTTCTACTACCTTCTGGGAATGTTTGATCTGAAGATAAAAATGCACAAAGACGCTAAGCTATAAATCAGTCATGAAATTATCATAAAGATTATGTTCAAGTTGTGTGAGCTTGAAATTCTTATCAGAAATAAGAACAGGAGTTGATCATATGCCACCTAGAGACTGCTGCACTGTTTAATCATTACTGATCTTCTGCATTAATTCCCTGTCCACTCCCCACCGCCTTTGATTCTCAGACATATTAAAAATCTGTCTACATGAGCCTTGAATATATTAAATAAAGAAGCATCCAAAACCTTCTGAGAAGAGAATTCCAAAGATGCACAACCCTCTGAGTGATCTTTTCTTAATCCCAGCCCTAAATTATTGAACTCTCATCCTGAGGGCGTGCTCCAGATTTCCAGCCTAGAGAAAACAAGCTTTTAGTGTGAAAACTGGCAAATTCCTTCAAAAGAATACAAAGTTCAGAAGAATCAAAAACAAAAATCATCTAGGGTGCTGGGTAGCATAAGTACACATCCAGGCAACTAATGAGGTGCATCCTTGACTGCTTTGGCTGAGGAGTGCATAAGTGAAATAAGTCTCTGAATGCACAGTACCAAACATTCTCTGTCAGTAATTGTCAATCTCCGTCTGCAAGCTGCTATTAGTAGAGTTGAAGGTTGTTCCTGCAAAGCATTGTTAAAGCACACCAGTGCAGCAGAATTGTTAAGGCTTTGCTTTTGACAGTGACATTGAAAACCCAGAACTAGAAAGTGTTCCACATCCCAGTACTTGTATCCCTTGCCTTGTTAAACACATAAGTGTGGCCAGTTAGACATCACAAACCTTTTTGCAGAAACCGGTGAACATCTTGGAGTTATGCCAACTTTCCTCTGTTTGTTTTGACATCGGAATTCTAGTAACATATATTTCAACTTGGATCTCAATTTGCTGGTCAACAATGAAACGTTTTGCTTAAACTGAAAAATCTCAGCCCAGGCTAAGAATTGTGTTTGTTAACTATAACACTAGAAATTTCAGGAAGCATGGATCCTTTTGAAAAAAGGCATATTTATATCACTTTTTATGACCGCTGAAGACACTTTACAGTCAATCATGCATTTTTCAAATATGGCCATGGTTGTAATGTAGGACCATGATTGACACACAACAGGCTCCCATGAACAGCAATGGTATAATGATCATATAATCTAGAACTGCACTCCTCTTCAAAAATAGTGCCATTGGATCTTTTGTAAGCAGCTGAGACCTTGGTTTAATGTCTCATCCAAAACAGTTTGTACTTCCTCATGTTTTGCACTGGAGTGTCAGCTTAGATTTGATGCTCAAATGCAGGAGTGTAATGTAAAACCAAAACCTTCTGACTCAGAGGTGGTAGTATGACCAGCTGAGCTGATGGTATTGCTTTTCAGATGAGACATTAAACTGTTTTTCCACTCCAGTGGAATCCCACAAATCTATTGTGCAGAAAAAGCAGAGGAATTACCTGGTATCTTGTATTTGTCCCTCGTAACATATTCACTATATGACGATTTATGAGTGCATATGTGCCTGATTATAAAAATATGATGTGTCTATGATACTAGGAGTTTAAAAAAATGGTTTGAAATGCAACTATTAATTTTTTTTCCACTTTCTAAATCATTTTTGGATTATTTCATTTATGAATATTTAACCATAATGCTCTTTCCAGCTTAGAGCACACATCAAACCTTGCATGATTTTCTCTTTTGATTGAAGTGGCATGGGGATAATTATGTAGTCAGAGTAGGCTGAAATATCTAATTATTTTGTTGAACTTCTTCCAGTTTTAATACCGAATGTTCTTCAGCTACTGCAGCTTGTGGTTGAATGAGGAGAAAACTTGTATTTTTAAATTTTTTTTCCAGGCATTGCTTCTTTTGGCCGTAAATTAACTTCGTTTTGGTGATCGTGCTGCTGTAAGGTATGTATAGTGTGTTTATTGGAGGGAGGTGAATGGCTCAACAAATGTTCCCTGTTGTTTCACCCATAATTACACTTATAACCTTTACAATGCAATTAATTTTAGGATTGTAGTCAGCCATGCTTCAGAATGATCTTCGTAAAAGAGTAAGTTTCAACTTTTCATTTTGATGTTAGTACCTTTATCCTATTCTAAATGCAGTGAACCGGCTGAGACAGAATTTCATGAGGCATTGATAGCCTTTTGGAGCCTTTATCAATTTGTCTGATCCGTAATTAATAATCTGGATTCAGAAACTCACTGAGCTGGTCAGATTCACAGAATATACTTCATAATTTGGATGGAAGGAGTAGAGTATGCATTTACATTTAAGGAGAAGATCGAGAAACTAGACAATATTTGGAAGAATGCAAGACAATGGAAAATGCAAGTAAATGCAGTTAAACACAAGATTTTATATATTGGAATAAAAGTATAAGGTAAACTCCTAATGAAGAGAGTCAGATAGAGAAAACATTGAAATCATTCTGAAGCAGATTCTGCATTGACCTCTCGGTGGTGCAGAGCAGAAAGAAAACCTATGTCATTCCCAAGCAACAAAAAGAAGCTGCCTGTCTAAATATGGCGCTGCCTGGATATAAATTAAGCATGACAGAACAAAATGTATTTTGTCCTTGCAGCCGCCCTCTTTCTCCGTTCCCATCAAAAAAGAGGAGACTGGGTCTTGGTGTAGGGACCCGCCCCCCACCCCTTGCCCTTCTCTCACTGGGACACAAGCCTTAGCTTCATCTCTCCGACCCCTTGTCAGTGCCATATACGTGCAGAATGTGTGGTGGCATCATTGCCGTGTGTGGATGCTTCCTATGGCCTCTCCTGTTGTAAGCAGGTGGCATCACTGGCCACTTTGCATTTGCACATTGGCCATTTTGCATCATTGATAATCACTCCAATAAGGCACACAGAATGCTGAGTTGCACATCAAATTCTGCACATTGCTCTTGCCAGGCTACCCCATAAACATTCACTTCTGGTTAGCAAAATGTAAAGAGAAAAAAGTCCTGGACTCTTCAGTACGGCAAGGAACTGAGTGTAAATGGACACCTGTCGATACTATTGGGAGTAGAAAACATTAATTATTTCAAGTTAAAGAATTAAAGTTTTTAAGTTAAATATGCTACAGAATAATCACTTTAGAAGATCAACATGGCACGGTGACTGAGTGGTTCACACTGCTGCCTCAGCACCAGGGACCTCAGAACCAGGTTGGATTCCAGTGTTGGGCAAATGTCTATGTGGAGTTTGCGCATTCTCCCCATGCTTGTGTTGGTTTCTTTCACGTGCTCTGGTTTCCTTCCAGAGTCCAAAGTTGTGCAGGTTAAGTGGATTGGCCATGTTAAATTGACCTGTAGTGTCCAGGGAAGTGTAGGCTACATGGGTTAGCCATGGTAAATATGAGTTTATGGGGATGGGGTGGGTCTGGGTGGGATGCTGTTCAGACAGTTGGTGCAGACTTGATGGGCCAAATGGACTCTATCTGTACTGTTGGAATTAAATGATTCTGTGATCTTGGTTTATGAGCTGTCAAATAGATTCATTAGTCGATAACCATTATATGAGCAGAAGTAATTCATGTCCTAGGTAATTGTGTCAGTCAGTTGACTAAGTAGCTAGCATGTGATGCAGATTGACATTACAGCTCAGGTTCAATCCCCATACCAACTCTGCGAGTTCAAGGAGGCCTATCTCCTCACCTTGTCCCACACTTGCAGAGTGGTATCACTTAACCAATATGTAACTTAGCATCTTTTCGTAATGGACACAGATAATGGCTAATTTCATGACCGTCATTACAGTCTTAGTTTTTCCAGTAATTATCATAAAATAGCAAGTATAATAAAAAAATAGTAAAACAATGGCATTTTCTATATGAGCTTACACCCTGTCACCAGTGGTCAATTAGTTATGATTTAAGTCATCTCATCCTGCCACCACTGGTATTAACACAGTGGCAAATGGGCCTATTGACATGCATTGTGCATGATAGGTTGGACTGTCTGGCCTGCTTGTCATCTACCAGGAGGTGGTAGGAGGAGTGAGTTCCATGTTCAAAAGCATTCAGTACCTGATTGAGGGGCACACCATTGAGAAGGGGGCCCATGCTGACAGCCACAGTTTGACTCTCACTGTTTACTTTCATATATCACTCTCACAACTTCTCTAACCCTGTGAAATCTCTCCTGACATTACCTACCTGTGGCCTGGATTGCTCTCGATCCTGAACCTCCAATGAACGTCATTATAGCAGTAGCAGGCACTACTTCCCCAGTGACATTGCTGTCAAAAGACCTGATGATTTCTGATTGTCCAAAAACTCTAGGTGGGCCATGTTTTCTGTGCATTAACTTGGCTTTTAGCCTCAAAAGTAACTCAATAGAAAAGGCAGCAATATCATTCTACATTTTAGATATTAATGTTTCATTTTGGAAGAGTAATCATTTTATTTCTTTTAATGTCTGGTTGATATTACATATTTAATAGTTATTTAGATTTTGAGTGCCCTCTGGTTGGTTATAGGAAACTTGATGTGGGAGTGGAGAGAGATGGAACACACTGAAAAAACCTATGAAGATGAGAATACATTGAACAAGAAACCTAAGAGCGTGGGACTCTGTGTAACTCGGTGAGTAGCTAGAACCATGTAGGAAAGGTGTTCTTCCTTTTCCTGATTTGTGAACAAATAATTATATACAGAAGATCTGCTTGTTATTAACAGGACTGCCAACACTGAATAAATCTGCAGCCATTTAGGGCAAACCATAATCTTGAAGTCATTGTGTTTGTTAGCTTTTCAAAGATTTAGCAAGCATGCAAATTATAGATATAAAACATATCGTGAGCTGTGAATTGTTCTGAAGTGAGCACAGAAGGTTTAAGTGTTGTAATTGTAATAATCCACTTTTATTTAGAACCACAATGTTCATAAATAACCATTTTAATGAAATTCTATAATGATTTGCAGTTATAGTTAATGAACTGTGCATATGAAAATATTAGGCTTTAAATCTGAAATGACAACTTTCTTGCTATTTTTCATATGACCGCCACAGATACACACATGTTTGAATTTCAGTGCAGGTTTGCAAAGGCAGATTATAAACTGCAAAGCACTGTTATCCTTTTGAAGTCCATTATTGTTGTTGTACCCCACAACTGATTGGTACTTTTTGGAGAAAAGGAGGAAAGTAAATAGCAATTATTCATTCGTACTCAATGTTCCATTAAATATGCTATGCCTGCATATTTTGTCACTTCCTTAATAACTGCAGTGACAAAATACGAGAAATGTAAAATAAGTTTGCATCAAAGGTTTCAAGACCTCCTCAGACTCAGAAGCACAAATTAACTACACATTTTCTACAATGCTATGGTCCAATGAACTCCGATCTCTTGCTTTTTCTAAAGCCACAACACTGCTGTTTACTATGAAACCACTGCTGTCACCACAGTGAGCCTGCTGGCTAGAAATTTCCAACCCAAGGGCTCCCCATACAATCAAATAAATCTCCATCAAAAGCAAAGGTTAAATAAGCTTCTGTATTAATTCTGCATTAATTGGGAAATACAGCAGTGAAATACCACACCCACTGAACGTGCCTGACCATTTATGTGGATCTGTGGGATGAAAGTCAAAGGAATTAATAACTCATGATGTGTAAAGGGTTATGAAACCATACTTGAAATATTTCACCCACCTTTTGTCCCAATACATAGAGAAATAATCACAGCTCAAAAAGGTTCTAAGATAATGGCATATATCTTAACTCAGCATCTATTAAGGTGGTGGATGTTTCCCGTTTTTGGTAATGGGGTTATTAATGCACAGCTGAAGATTCTTAAAATATCATTGAAAATGATGGTTAAAAAAGGAAAATGTTTGCATATCTTAAGAGCATTATTAATGCTGAAAAAAAAGATGAAAGCTGGAGATATATTAATGAGCTGAAGTCTAAAGCTAAACATTTTTGGAGTAGGAGTTAGTTTTGCTCATTCATGGACTATGAGCATTGCTGGCAAGATCAGCAATGGTGCTGTGGTGGTGGTTGAGGTACCAATCTAATTTCCTGGATGGTATTAAGCAACTTGAGTGTCTTTGAAGCTTTTCTCATCCAGGTAGGTGGAAGATGTTACAGCATGATCAAGACTAATACTTTGTGGATGGACACAAATTAAGTATGGGCTCTTACCAGAATGAATATAGGCTTTGCTATAGTGGTCAGAATAAAAATACAGAGATCTTGATTTAGCGAAGAGTACGTAGAGAACAACCCAGCCAGATACCTTCTCTAATGGAGCAGACTCAATAAACAATGGACTTTTCTTCTTTTGTTTTGTGGTCTAAAGAACTCAATATGAGATACGTTAAGAAAATTCCAACATTCTGGTCAATTACAATTGTAGAAAATTGTCTGAATCTGACTCTTTTAAAATTGCTACTTTTCATGTGTTTTTATTTTTCAAAAGATTAATACACATGGACATGGAATAATGACTTGCCTCCGTGTTATTGCAATTCAAACATCTCTGCTAATAAACAAGGATAGCTCAGGAAGGATATATTAGTTTTGGAGGATGTACAACATAGGTTTGCAAGACCAATGCTGGACGTCAGGGGTTAAGTCATGAGGAGAGATTATACAAATTAGTCCTGTTTTCTTTAGAATTTGAAAGGTTAAGAGATGGTATGATCAATGTATTAAAGAGAATAACAGGAAAAAGTGAGAGATAAACATAAACTATTTCCACTGGTTGGATTCTAGAACGAGGGGCACACTCTCGACCATTCAGGACAGATATTAGGAAGCACTTCTAAGTACAAAGGCGGGTTAGGGGTTCGGCACTGTCTTCCACAAATGGCAGTTGATGCTATACCTATTGTTAATTTTAAATCTGATATAGGTAAATATTTATTTAGCAAAGGTATTAAGTGGTGTGGGCCAAAGACAGGTATATGGAGTCAGGCCACAGATCAGCCATGATCCCACTGAACAGGGTCAAGGAGCTGGACGGTCTACTCCTGTTCCCATGCACCTAGGACAAATATTGTTCACAAGGTGCAATTAGTTGTAATGAAACAGCTGAAATCTAGATTTCAGCCTGAAATTTCATTTTCCAATAGGCAATTTTGCTTTATTAGTCTGATAGACAGATGATTGATTGGAGAAGCAAACCAATAGTAACTTTCTACACATAACTACAGCTATGTAAATTATTAAATTAGCTACTCAGAAAAATCTTGACTTAACAATATCCAGAGATTAATGAGAAAGAACGGAATTAGAATATTGATTTAACTGTACAGTTGATTAATTACTGAAATGCATTAAATTCACTGGGTTGAGGATAGACCATTAGTTACACCAAAGTACATCAGTTTGATATCTGCATTTTAGTGTAATTTCCTATGCAGTGTGTAGGGATTCTAATGGTTCAAATTGATCATCCACAGTTTTTAAATGCGGATGAAATATTTTCTTCATCTACCCAAAGTATATTTGAAAAAAAATTAAAATTCTTCAGCCCATAGCATTGCATTTGCAACTTTTTTTCTCATAGATAAGGTTGTGGGTTTATGCGGGCGGGATTGACCACAGCTCTTTTTCCACACACATTAAAATCAGGCTGCCGCTTCAGCCCAAAGACAAGTTGAAAGCCCTTATTGTGTGTCAGACATATAACTCTGCCTGAAATTAAGCTGAAAATAAAACTCTATCCACGCACAAAACCCAACTCGTGTTTCTCCCTTGAAACGTTCTCTATAAAATGCAGGTATTGGGGTGGCATGGTGGCTTAGTGACTTAGTGGTTAGCACTGCTACCTCACACTCCCAGAGACCCAGGTTCGAATCCACCCTCAGGTGACTGCTTGTGTGGAGTTTGCACATTCTCCCTGTGTCTGTGTGAGTTTCCTCTAAGTGCTCCGGTTTCTTCCCACAGTCCAAAGATGTGCAAGTTAGGTGGATTGGCCATGCTAAATTGCCCAGAATGTCCAGGGGTGTGTAGATTAGCCATGGGAAATGCAGGGTTACAGGGATAGGATAGGATAGGATAGGGGAGGTAGGTCAGGGTAGGATGCTCTTTAGAGGGTCAGTGATGGGTCGAATGGCCTGCTGCCACAGTGTAGGGATTCTATGATTCATACTTAGCTACATTCTGATATTCCTCTCCCAAATATATCATCCTGGACATATGCTTTTGCAACTACATGAGGTTATTTGCAGGATTCTGGCTGAATTCCATCAATCCAACTTCCAAAACTCCATTTAAAGTAAATTATACCACCTCTACCATTGTTACTCGACCAGTGCTGTGGCTAAACTGGTTAAACATCTGGATTAAGGCCACAGTTCCATTTATTCACAGACATGAAGGAAACGTAGCACTTCTGAATCAATTAGATTCATAGCCAAAAAAGCCTCAGTGCCAAATAGGGTATTTTATAATTTATTTTTGATAAGTGAGCCGTATTCCCTATTCCCTGTGCCTGGTGCAACTCCCAGCAAAACAGCAAACTCTCAACCTATACATATAGCCTCTGCATTCAGTCATTAACAGGTTACATTTCTTTGACTAATCCATGTGAAATCAACTGACCTTCCTCTAATATGTTTGGCATCTCAGAATGGTGTAATAGATTCTTTTAAATCTTAAACATAGCAAGGCAGCATTTATCCAGTTACCATGAATAATGTAGTTTAAAAGTGGCACAAGCAAACAAGAGACTCTTGCAATGCACAAATCTCAGTGAATTATCTGTTTCCAGTTCAGACCTAAACAGATCTTGTGAGTGAAACAATTAATGTCAGATGGTTGTGCTGTCTTAAAAGCAGTAATCAAAGTTGACACCCCACTGTGCAAAATGGAGGAGTACAACGCTGCAACATCTCTACATGCTACCAATTCTAACCTCTTGTGACATTCTGATTTTCTTTCTCTGTCAATGACTCTATGAACAGTTGTATCTTCGTTAGCCTGTCCATTAATTTCCAGAATTTCCTCCCTCGCCCTCTCAATCTCATTCATCACCTTTAAGATACTGCTTAAACATTAGTCCTTTGACCATATTTTTGTCATTTGTCTTGATATGTTCCTATTTAGCTCAGTGTCAAAATTGGTTTACAGTCAAACAGAAGATACTCAGAATATTAAGCAGGTCAGGCAACATTTGTGGAGAGGAAAACAGTTGCCAGTTCAAGCGGATGACCTTTCTCCCCGTATTTGTTTATCTTTCCTGTGGAGCATCTTTCAGATTCCTAATACATTGAAAGTCCAATATAAATTAAAACTATTGCATTACTACAACATGCTTTCATTCAGATGAGACAATAAACCCTGCCTACTTTCTCTGTAGGTGTAAAATGTCTAATGCTACCATTTGAAGAATATTCTCCTTATCTCCTGATCTGCAAACTTCCTTCAACTAATGTTCGTAAAACATAACTGGTCATTTGTTCGTTTGCTGCTTCCCATTCTGTGTGTCATCCAAATTTGCTGCTACATTTGTCTGTAATTGAACACTATTCATTTACAATAAGGCACTTTGATGTGACCTGATGAGCAGTTACATTGCAATATAAATACGGCTTTATTTCTTCAGCATGGATCTACTTAATATTTATCCCAA